GCTTACTGAGGGACTCTGTGAGGCTGCCTGAGGCAGGAGGGGCACTGAGCATTCCATGCCACTGACCTGGCCAACAGGCCTGGCTTTCTGACAGACGGTGTGCCTGAGCAAATGCTGCATTAAAGGCACCAAGCAGGATGCTGAGCTACCTCAGGACAGCCGTGGATCCTGAGCAGATCCCTGCTCCCACGGAGCTCACTGTTGTGTGCACGCATTACACTGTGTGAGCGTGCATTCCTGTGTGTGTGTGTGTGTGTGTGTGTGTGTGTGTGTGTGTGTGTGTGTGTGTAGTGGGTGGGAGACATCACAACAGCTCTTGCAGGACAGTGTTGATGGCTGCTACCGTGGACTGAGCTCCACCTTTGGACCAGGCTCTGATTTAAGGGTTTCACCTTGATAAACTTGTTCAATTCTCTTGGCTAGCCATCTAAAGGGGGCACCTCCAATTCTCCATGAGGCCACTCAGCTGAGAAGCAGTAGGACTGACCCTGGACCTGGGCTCTTTTCAGTAGTCACATGAATGTGTCCTGAATGGGACTGAGGCCATGGAGGAAACCAAGGACCCTGCTCCAGTGGCCAGCACTGGGGGACTCACAGAGTACCCACTCCCCCTGCATCATGTTCTCCTAGGAACCAGAAGGAGAGCTGGTTAGGATCCCACCTCCCAGTCAAAGCCAGTGCAGTTCCCAGTCCTTTGGTCATAGTTACCGAGGCTCACAGCTGCCGTCTTGAGCTACTGCTGCTCACCAGTGGCATGAGTGCCAGCTCTGGGTCATGAGACCATGCAGTCTTGTCCTCACCTTCAGCCCTTGGTGGTATGTATGGTGGGGGATGCAGACCCTGAAGGACCTCCACTCCACATCTCTGAGGAACATTTCCCTGGTTGGTTATGCTGGCCCATGAGCCATCCCTGAATGGCCTCCTGCCACACCAGAAGGGACAGCTCAGCTGTAGGTCTGGACCTAGAAATGGTCCCTCCCATTTCTTCCCCAGTTTCTGCCTCCACAGGTTACTAAAGGAGCTGGCTGGTGATTGGACCTCTGCCTTTGTTTCCTTGGGGGATACCTGCCCGACTGGGAAGCTGAAACTCTGGCATTCTGGGCCTATGAGACCCTTCTTTCCACTCCTTGAAACTCCAGTGACCTCGTGAGGGTGACCACCTCCCGGAGGCACATGTCCGTTCTAGAGGTGAGATCACCCTGATCTCAGGCTTCTCTTTCATCGGGGTGGCATCTGAGGAGACCCTGCTGACCCGCCGACGCGGTCCATGAAAGGTCTTACAGTCTCACCTGGAAGCTGGTCCCACACCCATGTTTCAGACATGAGTAACTGACACTGGAAAGGGGGTGGGTTGACTGCCACTCCACCGCAACCTGGACAGCTGTCAGCACTTGGGGCGTGGAGGCACGGGGAATCAGGAGTTCAAGACTGGCCTCGGCTACCTTTTGAGTTGGAGGCCACCTTGGACTACATGAGATCTGGTCTCAAAAACCAAACCAAATAAAAAGCAGGCCTGCACCTTAGACTCCTGAGCTCTGACAGTAGTGGCATCTGCTGTCCCGTTGTCTCCTGGCCCTGGCCCTTCTCTCTCTTGGATTGGCTGAACTCTCCAGCAAAGGGTCAAGTTCACGCTGAGGGCACATGCGCTCTTGTGCCACCGCCAAGCCTGGATCCTAGGGCTAGTGAGACAGGGGCTGGGATATTTAGTGTAAACTGAGAATGGGGTCGGGCACATAGGGATGAGGCTGGGTATGGGCTGAACCAGAGGTCAAAAGTACAGAGAGAATAAGGGCTGTCCAGGCCATCAGTGGGCCTGGAGGCTTGGCAGTGTGGCTAGGGAGATCTTAAGGGGGCTCCAGTGGGGTGGGCAGAAGGAGAAGATGCTATTGGCAACTTCCGTTCTCACTCTTCTCCTGCCTTGTGGAACACAATGCCTTGGGGACCCACTGAGGTCACTTAGGTAAAGGCAACCAGCCAGGAACAAGCCGTCAGGAGTCCTGGCTCAGCTGTATGTGATGCTCCCTTCCAGATTAGCCATGGCCTCTGCCCCAGCCCCCTGTGGGTCCTGCAAGGCAGGATCCTCCTGTATCGAGAAGTCAAAACCTGGGCGATATGGTCAGGATGGCTGACCCTGGCTGCCTGTGGAGAGATGTCTGTATCCAGCCATGCTGTCAGGAAGAGAGCCAGGCCCGGGGGCTCTATGTCTGTTTGTCCTTCCTATGTGACCTTGAGCATTCTGAACCTCACTCAAAAGTTTTTCCTGGTGCTTGTGTCATTTCGGCTTCCCCAGAGCTGACAGTGCTCCCTCTACAGCCTCCATCCTTCAGGGGCACCCAAGGCTCCTTAGAATCCTGCCTGCCCATAGAGGAGTCTATGCCGCTGCTGCCCCCCACCCCATGAGCCTGAACAACCCTCCCTGGGGTTCCAGATGAGACAGTTCAGCCTTCATGCTCTGGACAGGGAGCCTAGGCTTCCCCACTCTGGTGGCCTTGGCTTCTCCGGCTATCTGGAGCAGTGCTCCCTACCCACAGGTCTATTAAGATGTGCTTTTGAAGCCGGGCTGTGGTGGTACACGCCTTTAATCCCAGCACTCAGGAGGCAGAGCCAGGCTGATCTCTATGAGTTGGAGGCCAGCCTGGTCTACAGAGCAAGATCCAGGACAGGCACCAAAACTACATAAAGAAACCCTGTTTCGGAAAACAAAACAACAACAAAACAAATGATGCGCATTTGAGCTTTTGGGGCTGGGGTTTGAGACCGTTTCTAACCTGTTTCCCGGCAATTGAAGCTACTGCTGGTGGAGCTCGCTCTGAGTTGCATGCTCCTTCCTGAGGCTGAGCTGCCATTTCTCAACTGTTCTAGACC